CTCATAGTTTACCCCTTTTTGTGGCATTGTAACCAAAAAAAAAAAAAAAAAAAAAAAATTATGAAGATTGAGGGGAATGCCAAAAAGGCATAAACCCAGAAATAGCCTTTTTTAGTAGCTTTTCTGCTTATTCAATGATTGCTTTTTTTTTTCTATCTTTCTGGTAATGCTTCAGTGATGAGTGTAGTAAGAGCCAAATTGCTTGCTTACCCATGTGGTGTTTGTGTCTTTCAGCTCCCAGTTTGAGAAGAATTGTGATCCTTGGAAAAACTGGAGCTGGAAAAAGCAGTGTTGCAAACACTATATTTGGGGAAAAAGATTTCAAAGTCTATTCTAGTTTCAGATCAGGAACACGTCAATGTCAAGCAGAAACTAACCACATAAGTGGAAGAGATATAAGCCTGATTGATACACCTGGCTTCTTTGATACAAACACACGTAAAGAAGAGCTAATGCCTGAAATATTGAAGTGCATCACAATGTGTTTACCTGGACCACATGCTTTCCTCATTGTGCTTAAATATGAAAGATTTTCAGAGCTGGAGAATGAGATCTTAAACCAAATAACCAAACACTTCTCTGAAGAAGTGTTCAAATATGCCACAATTGTCTTTACTCATGGTGAAGATCTCCCTGAAGGGCAGACAATCAAAGATCATTTGAGTCACAGTGATTGTTTAAGTGAGGTTGTGAGAAAATGTGGTGGTCGGTGCTATGTCATAGACAGCAAATATTGGAACGATTCAGATGACCCATACAGGAACAACAGCTACCAGGTTAATAAGATACTTGAATCGGTAGAAGAGATAGTGAAGGAAAATAATGGAAACTGTTACACCAATGAGTTTTTACAAAGAGTAGAAAAACTAACAAAACAGGCAGAGCAACATAAGATACCTGAATCGATAGTGAAGGAAAACAATGGAAACTGCCACAGCAATGAGATGCTACAGACAGGGGAGAAAATAACACAACAGGAAGATCCATGTCATGTAAAACATACTGAAAAAATATCCAAAAGAGAAATCAGGGAGAGAACCGAAGGCAAAGTCTGGACAGTTTTTAAAACACTAGGTATTTCAGAAGATAGTCTGTTGAAAGCCTTTTTTGGTGTAAAAGCTGCTGTAGCAGTGGCTGTTGCTTGTTTAGTAGTGGCAGCAGGTGGAAAACTGGCTGCATCAGCAGGAGTAATAGAATCCATTATGCATTTAACAGGAGAAGAGACAATCGTTGGAGCTGCTGGAGCAGCAGTAATGTTTGCAATGAAAACAAGCTGTTCTATTAATAAATAACTTGGCCTTTTTAATGAGAATTTCATGTAATGTAATTCTTACATTACCTTCTTAATTTCCGGAGGGAGTCTTCCCAAGGGATCAATAAAGTTCTGTCTAAGTCTAAGTCTTAGATATTTATTATCATTTATAAGTTCATTCTCAGACACCTTCATTAAAGATCTAGTAAAAAACTTTAGTCAGAGTATTGTAAAAATAGTTGGCCCAGTAAAAAATTATTTTCATGTAGTTGGTATTGGTTTTGTTGACCCATCAAAAAGCTGTTGGAATGTATTTGAAAACTGTTGCTTTGTAATCGGGAGATGTTTTCTTAGCTCCCGGTGTTCTTTCATTTTTATTTTTTGCTATTTATTTAGAAAACAAACACCAAAATCAAAAATCTCCAGCTGTTCCTTTTAGCATCAACTGGGTCATCTGTGTTGTGGAATGCCTGGGGCTGCTGTCCATTTTAGCAGAATCTGAGATAAGATTGTATTTTGTATGTTTATTTTGTTTACTTTAGGCACTAAGTGCTGAAACCTGGCTGTGTGATATTCTGCTTATTAAAAGCATTTTGCCCTAGAAATGCTCAAGAGTGCAGGAAAATCGACCTTCCATTATTCTATTAGTGACAAAAGCACCTCATGGTCTTGTTAGAATGCTACATACAAATCCTGTTTACTTAAATTTAAACTTAAAAGTCATGATGAATGTTTTACATCATTTTTAGGCTGAATATTTCTGAACTGCCCAGTCAGTAAGAACTTACTGTAAATATTTTATTTAACATTGGAATGTATATGTAATTACGAATATATAATGATTTAATAGTAAATGAATCTATAGTTGTATATCTTTCATTGTAAAGCTTGGTCATGCATGTTCCACTTCTAGTGAATTGTCAGGCTTTGTAATCATATATTAGAAACTGTTTTATCTAGCATTTGCTTTTTATGAGTAATATTGACATTATTCTTTATGAGTTAAGTGTGTTTTCTTTCTTGGATCTCCTAATTTCTAATGAACAACTAGCTATATAATCTACAATTTTGTCATATCTTACTAATTATTTGTTTACTGAGATCCAGTAGATCTGTTATATTGTAAAAACTTTACATCCTTTCTACCTTTTATCTTTGCTGGGATGAAGAATCAGGTTGTTCTGTAACATTTACACATAGTTTCCTCTCTTCCATCGGTTTTAAACTGATAATAAATATGATCAATTTATCAAATAAATCCTCTGTGTTTTTATTATGTACTGTATATCTTAGTCAGTCAATGTGTTCAAAATGACAGTGGCTAAATTCTTAGTATAATCACATAAAGAAAATCAAAGGCTTTGCTTCAGGTGTGCATTATCTTTACTTTACAGTATCTTGCTCTTTTTTATTGCTGCACATTTGTGTATCAACTAGAGGCACATATATTTTGACTATAGTGTTCGAACCCTAAACTAAGGCCCTAAGTGCAGTTAAGGCGCATGGGGGTCGTAGATGATCTTTGATTTTGAAATTCAGCTTCTTTATAAAGAAATATCAGTACTGCTCAGTGAAAAAAGAAAACATCAGCTAAACTATTCTGGAAAAAGAGCAAATATCATGAAGAAACTTTCCTTTTATTGAGTGGAATCACAATAGTATTCCCAAGCTAAATATGGAACCAACCATTCTCCCGTCATCAAGGGTCAGTGTTTTTCAATTTTACCATAAGATTATGAATATATTAAATAACTAGATTTGGGCGTTTTAGTCAATAAATAGGCCATTCAAATGAAGGGTAAAACCAGTTAATGATTATTAGTAAATTATTATGACTGATATATACTCGAGGTTGGACTCCCTGCTGTTAAAATCCAGTTGCCTTTCACCAGTACAGTAATTTATACTACGGATATCAGCAGAATTATTAATCACCAACCAAAGAAATGATCTCTGTTTCTTCTAATGTTAACTAAAGGAGGGTGTGGCAGGCTCCGAGTGATAACTCATTCACTGCATAAATAAACACAAGACACCACAGATTAAAACATTGGTTGCTTTATAAGTTGTTATAAGTTTTCTAAATATTTTTCTAACTACTAGGCAAACACTAAACACTACTGAAAATAAGTATACAGTAAACTAAAAGCTAATAATCAGGGTAAATAAAATGGGGGTCTAAGGATCCATTTAAAGAGTCTCTGAAGAATCAATCATTTAATATAGCATAGATAAATGTGAATAATGCTGATGCAGGGATAATAAATGGTTTTACAGTGAAGTAGCTAGAGCAAATTGGTTGGTCAGATGAAGCCAGGAGACCTGGTTCCGAGGCAGGCCAGCTAGAAAAATAGGTCATAAACTCACAAAATACCATGTAGCCAAAGATGAGGTTTAGAGAGCTTGTTTATGTAACGCAGTTTCAGCTGAGAACTGGCTTCTCTCCTGTCAGACCTGGGGTTCTCATCACAAAGAGAAAAAAGGGAAGGAGTCGGCTACTTAAGTAATCTCTATTGCAGGGATGCCACATAAGGGGGAGTTGCTCTTGCTTGTCACTGACAATAAATCTTCAACATTCGTTAATAACAAGTTTAGGTGCTTCCCAACTTGAACACAAGGAGCCATCTATTTCTTCTAAATTTGCTATTAATAAACTCCCTCATAACCAAGAGTATCACTAAGAAGACATTCTATCAAAACTAAGAGATACTGGAGCAGAGGCATCTACAACATGTTGGATATTGACTACTTAAGGAAAGGAACTGCCCAACCAAGATCTAAGTCTTGCCATAAGTATATCCTTTGGGACTGATCTTTAAAGATTCAGGACGAGGGGCGCTAAATTGAGCATTACATTTTTTTAGTACTTGTATTGCAGGGGTTCAACGTTTGATGCACAAATGTTAAGGTGTGCAATCCATTGCGGTTTCCACAGGCAGAGAATGGCTATCAAAGAGAGATTGAGGCCATAAAAGAGAGATCTAGACATTGCAGTGCAGTGGGGTATAAGCTCAGAAAGACTGGACCCAGTATTCAAGGCAGTCAGAAAGTTAAATTTCTCAAAACTTTTATTAGATACATAACTGCCGTGGAAAGCGTCTGCTTTTAAGGCAGACGTCGAGACTGTCTAAGGCCTGCCGCCTCCTCTGCAACAGGTTAGTGACCACCTCTCTCAGGCGGAGGATGATAATGAACACGTGAGTCACTAATCTGGTCTAATAGTTCAGTCCTTGCCAAAACAATAAGGTTGCTTCCAGCCGGTCGGCTGCCAATGACTATGGAAAGCAGGATAATCCAGAGGGCAAATCCAAAGGCGGTGTTGAAGATGGGCTTGGTGATCAGAGCCAGGAGATCAGAAGTCCAAAGAGGTGTCGAAGGAGAATCCCTAACGGAGTCAGGAATCAATTCCAGGTTTAGTTCAGAGACAGGTCAGGCACACAGATCAGAACTGGCACAGGCAGGCCCTGTAGTGAATTAGTGTGCACCAATGATTAAAATATATACATGTCTTTCACATTGAATGAAGGTCTTGCTTTAAAGGTCTAAAAAGTTTGGTATGCTGCAGAAAAGAGACAGAGGGTCTGGTATGCTGCTCTAAGTGCAACTTTAGATCAGAGCAAGACAATGAGTCTGGCAAGTCACTCTAAAAGTGGCTTCAGTAATAAGGCTAAGTTAAGAAAGTGCAGATGTCCTGCAAGAAGACAGTTGAGCCCAAATAAGGCCTGGGCATGAGACATATGCTTGGAAGAGTAGAATCACAGGAGGTTTAAGTACCAAGATTATGCCAACCAAGTTTAATGTGAAATGTTATAATCATGAATCACTGAATGAAAACTTTGCTCTGAAATAATCACTGAATGAAAACTTTGCTCTGAAATAATAATGACTGAAATATGATGTGTTTTTTTGATTTAATGGCAACATATGTTATTATGACTTATAAGAAATGTAATTATGACATGTAATAAAGTGTTTTTGATTAAATATATAAAAAATATGTTTTGAAAAGGACTTTCCCCCGGTAGAATAAAATTAATTAGACTTAACCGAAGAAAATGCATCTAAAATGGTGAAAAGAAAGGAGGAGCTTGGGGGAGGAGCCCCCAACAGCCCTAAATGTATAAAATAGAAGCTGTTTCATTATATTGTCAGTTGTTCACCGGTGATCAGCTCAGTGTGGATGCTTTGTGTTTTGCAATAAAACACTCTGGACTTGGACTCCGTAACTCCTGCCTGATTTTTAGATTTTTGGTTGAAGACTTTCCTGCTTTTTAAGAACTTTGAATTTTTATAAAATTTATTCCCAATTTTTAAGTCGTTAAGAAGAGAAAATACACAACAGCCCAGAGGTTGAGAGGCAGAAAGGGTCAGGATCAGTCAATCAGAAAACACAGGTACACTAGAGAACTCTCACCAAAGGCTTGAATAATCTGGCATTGATGACTGCTCTGAAGGCTGGTTAAATAGAGGCTGAAGCAGGTAGATCAGATAAGTGGTAATGAGAACTTGGCGATAAGCAGGGGGAATGGAATGAGTAGCCAGACCAGACATCAACACCAAGATCATGACATAATCATGAGAAAAGTAATTTTAAGTCTCTATATTAACTTTAATAGTACTTTATATTAACTATACTCTAAATGCAATGAACAAAAGTAATAAAAAAAATAACTAAAGTTAAACATAACAAAAAAAAAAACATGATGAGGTCTATTACCCCCTTGGGCTGCCACCTTATGGTGGTGGAAGGGTTTGAGTGTCCCAATGACCTTAGGAGCTATGCTGTCTGGGGCTTTATGCCCCTTAGTAGGGTCACCCAATGCAGACAGGTCCTAGGTGAGGGACCAGACAAAGAGCAGCGCAAAGACCCTTATGACGAATAAAATAAATGGATGCTCGGATGTGGGTCACTGGGGCCCCACTCTGTAGCCAGGCCTGGAGGGGGGGGGGCACCGACCGGACACAGCCAGAGGAGGAAACATGAGTCCCCCTTACAATGGGCTCACCACCTGTAGGAGGGGCCAAAGGGGTCGGTGCAATGTGTGATGGGTCGCAGTGTGGGCAGGGACCTCGGCATTCTGATCCTTGGCTTGCTCTGGAACCAGTTTCCTTGAGAGGGGCTGGACATTCTTCCACTCTGGAGTTGCCCCTGGTTGGAGGTGCCGAGCAGGAG